ATACCTGCAATCTTAGCTACTCAGGAGGCTGAGATCCAAGGATCGTGTTCAAATCCAGCCTGGGTAGAAAATTCTGTTTTTTGTTTTGTTTTGTTTTGGTCCAGTCCTGGGGTTTTATGTGGGGGTGTATACACATGCACACACACACACAAACACACGCGCGCGTGCGCACACACACACACACACAATGGCCAATAAGCACATGAAGAGATGTTTAGTCCAGAGAAATGCAAGTCAAAGAAACAATGAGAGTATGTTCACAAAAAATAAAAATTTAAATTAAAAAAAATTAATAAAAAGAAACAATGAGATACTGTTTCACACCAAAATACTTATACTCAAAGATAGTAGCAAATGTTGACAAGTACTTTGAGAAATTAGAACCCTCATGTACTGCTGGTAGAAATGAATGGTGATAGGGTAAGTACAGTTACCATCCACTGCCCCATTTCTCTGACTACACTGGTAAGGTGGCAATCATACCTGGTTCCTAAAATGGCCAACAAGTATCAGCCCAGGTCAGCCTCCTTGGCCTTGGTGATCCTTCCAAAAGATTCTATTCCTTAATTTCAGACCCTTTGAACTACATTTCACTCACTAAAATCACTTTTGTCACTTTTCTGACAAGTCCAAAGCCTTCTGATTGTTCTCCTTGTTTCTGACATGCTCTTCTTCCACCAAGAGCAGGGGCCACATGCCTCCTCCAGGAGAGGAGTTCCTGTGGCAACACTGAGTTCAAGGCCTCTCTTGTCTACCCAGAAGCAAACCAACCGACTCAGGAGTGGATAACCAGCTCTTGCTATCAATAAAGACAGCCATCCTTCACATCTGATAAATTCTACCACAGACCAGTAAGTGAGGAGTGAGTGAGATTCCCAAATGAGTGAGAAACTAAACAATCAAAGAAAAAGTGAATAACTGCAACCTCAGATGGTAAAAAAAAAACGGTGATAACAGGCTTCTAAAGGAAGGGGGCTTTTCCAAGCAAGGCTAGCAATTCAAAAGCAATGTGGTCCCAATGCCCTGGGAAACCACAAGATTTTACACTCTACTTGTGGGCACATCTCCATTTCCCAGAGGATAACTGAACATTAGACCTTCCTGCAGGCTGGAATAAACCCATAAAACATGAGACCAGGTGGGCACCGGTGGCCCATGCCTGTAATCCTAACTACTCAGGAGGCTGAGATCTGATGATCAAGGCTAGAAGCCAGCCTGGGCAGGAAATTCCATGAGACTCTTATCTCCAATTAACCTCCAAAAAGCTGGAAGTGAAGCTATGGCTCAAGTAGTAGAACACTAGCCTTGAGCAGGAAAGCTCAGGAACAGCACCTAGGCCTTGAGTTCAAGCCCCATGACTGGCATAAAAAAACAAGAGAGAGGAGAGAGAGAGAGAGAGGGAGAGAGAGAGAGAGAGAAGGGGGGAGACTAAATGACTCCAAAGCTTACCTGTCCAAAGCAATGGTGCTTTGGACACCACCACTGCCACTGCCAGCTGCTTGGTCAGCATGCCCAAAGTCAATGCTTTTCCAGCTAGCCCCTCAAACTTTCTCAAAGTTAGCAAAGAAAGCAGGTGACCACCATCTGCCAGTCAGAGGATTCCATTTCATGTCTACATCTAGGCAGACTCACTGCCTACCCAATAGAAAACCAAACATCATGCATACTCCCATAAAGTAGCAAGCACAGGTGCACATCTCAAAACACACTTAGGTTCTCCAGCAAGACCACAGTTCTTGCTTCTGTTGATCCACAACTGACAAAGAAAGGAACAGGAGAGCTGCCACTGGCCAACACAGCTCCTATGATGCTCACCAGTGAGCTGCATCTCTGAATATGATCACTGGCAAGCTACTCCTCTACCCAGGGCCTCCGTCTCATGTGTGAAATTGAAGGACCCAAAGTTCCTTTCAACTAGCTGTCATTTCCTAACCTGCAGGCTTCTACTAGCTCTCTACACAGGATGCTTTCTAGTGAGAAGCAGGATGTGGAACAAATAAAGGATTGACTTCCAGAAAGGGACACGGGGTTCACATTTTGATGACCCAGTTTCCCTAGAAATGTCAGATACCCCTGGAGGCAGCAAGAAGCAGAAGGAACAACTTCTGCTGGACAATTGGCCCAAATCAGCCCCTAGAGGTCTGAGCATTACACCAGTGTATGTTCTACCTCCTGAGGACATACTAACCCCAGGGATGGTACTGAAAATGGTAACCTGCCCCAAACCAAAAAAGCAACAAGGAACTTGTGCATTTCTAGATTGGAAAGAGAGATCTAGGGGCTGGGAAAGTGGCTCAGTGGTAGGGTGCTTGCCTTGAGCTGAAGAGCTGAGGGACAGCGCCCAGGCCCAGAGTTCAGGCCCCACGACCAGACCCAAAAAAAAAAAAAAGAGATCTAAAGCAATAGCTCAGACTGTGGCTACTCAGTCTCTAATGGGTCTAGCTCCTCTACCAAAGCAAAGCAAAGTCTTGCTGATCTTGGACCCCTTGATCTTTGTTCTTATGGGCAATTTCAAGAGCTCAGAAAAGCCAGGAGACTGAAGATTGTTGAGGTCCACAGGAAACCTGAAGCTTCATTTGTCCTCATTCCAAACTTAACTGGCAAAGCACTTAGTGTTTCAGGTCCTTTTCCTTCCTCTGCTCATTCTCAATACACAGACTCAAACAATAAGAAAAGAAAAATGGTCTGAAGGCAAGGAACTAGTGGATAGGAGACAGATCCTAAACAAACAGCGCCTAAGCAAAGTCATCTGTTCAAACACTGTCCAGATCCAACTTCCTGGCAGAAGCTACTGGACAATCTCACAGCACCTGGGGACCCAAGGGACCTCTCATTTAGGACCATAATCACCCTTATCACCTCCTAGAAATCGGTATGGTGGACAAAAAGTCAGCAGTCAATGCCTCTGAAAAGACCACCACAGAAAAGGAAGATACATTACTTGGACTATGAATAATCCTTGTGATCATCAGGCCTTTCACTCGTCTGGGCTGGTTATATTCACTCTTCTCCCTCACTCAAGGGGACCATGGCAAAGTGTCTGTGGCTCAAGGAAGCCTGTGCTTCTCCAATTCATGCACCCCGTTTAAGCAGCAGCAAAAAAGAAACCCAGCAAGGATTTCCACAGTCAGGGGTGAAGAGGCCTGGAGGATGGGAAACTTTGAGCAGCCACACCAAGCAAACGACCACCAACGGGACTATTCTGGCAAGCCAGTGCCACTTGTCCTGTCAACGGGATAAAGATATGGCCAGCGGGCTGTAAGGGACAAGGGGGAATCTACATGCAACCAACAGGATGGACTGAGAAAAGGCAGAGGGGACGACCAAGGCGATCTCACTGCACCCAGGCCTTCCCTCGGAGGTCCAGGAGCTGCCCGAAGCTAGCCCACGACGCAGAGAACCAGAGGGGCTGCAGGGCAGGGGAGAAGGCGTCCACATACCACCGAGACACCAGGCCTCGCGTGGCGTGCGCGGAGTGCACGCCCGGCCCGACGGCATGCAAGGGTGGGCGGGCGGGCGGGCATGCAAGTGGTTCGGGGAGGGATGGCAGGCGTCACCCACAGGACTCCGTGGGGCGAGGGCTGGGGGCGGGGGAGGGGCGCGCGTGGGGTGCTGGTTACCGTGTGGTTCACCCCCCACATCAGGACGCTGAGGATCGGCTCGCTGGCCCGGAATAGCTTCACTTTCTGGCACACGAAATGCTTCTTCTTGGTCTTGGTTTTGCTGGCGCTCAGCGGCGCCACCGCCACCGCCGTGGTGCTGGTGCAGTTGGACGACATGCCCGGGGCGGCGGCGGCGGCGGCGGCGGCGAAACGGGGGGCGGCGGAGACGGCACACAAGCCAGCGGCCCCAGGCCTCCCCCGGACCGATCCCCACCCCCGCTGCCTCACCGTGCCATGGTCGCGCCCGTCCCGTTACCTCCCACCCCGCCCCGGTGGTTCCGTCCGCCCCACGCCCCGCCCTCCCCGCTCCGCACCCCGCCCCCGGGCGGTGCCGCGGCCCGCCGTCACCGCACGCTCCCCTCCCCGCCGGGATGGTACCGCCCGCCCCGCGGAGGCCGCGGCCGCCCCACCCACCCGGCCTCCTCCCCGGGCCTCCGCACGCCCGAGCGGGGGCGGGAGCGAGGGGCTGGGAGGGCAGGGGGGCCGGGCGGACCTTACAGTAACCCTGCGGGGAGCACTCCCTGCCCGGGCCCCCAAGGTCCCGATTTGACACTTTCCCTCAACCTGAGGTGCCAAGATGGCGGCGGCGCTACAGCACCGGGAGGGAAAAGGGGACGGGAATGCGGGGAGGGTGGGACATACCATCCCCACCCCGGGGGAGAGAGGAGGAGCACAGCTAGGGGAAAAGGAAGTCCACCCTGGAAAACCAGGGAACGCCCCCTCGCTCCACCCCAGCGTGGATCTTCCCACTCCCCTGGGCCGAGGGGCGTGCCCCACCCGCGAGGCACGCCCCTCTCCCTCAGGGCCAATGAGAGGGGCAGGCCCGGAACCCTTAGGTTTTATGAATGGGCCCCGCGCCCACCCACCTGCCGCTTAGCCAGGCCTCAGCTGGCCTAAGGGTCCAGAAATGAATAGTACCTGGCACACACCTATCCTAATAATTGTCTCGTTCTCTGGCTTGCTTCATAAAATCTAAACTGACCACGCTTTGTTACATAATTCCTCGGGGAATCTATACATTTGACACAAATCACGGGTCAATATATTGTGTAGGAGAATATGAACTCAGTACCATGCACATGGTTTGTTCTTTACACAGTTGCAAAAATAAATATAGCCTTTATTACCAAGTAATTAAGAAAAGAAAAGCAGCCAGGTGCCGGTGGTGGCTCACGCCTAGCTACTCAGGAGGCTAAGATCTGAGGATCGAGGTTCAAATCCAGCCCGGGCAGTAAAGTCTGTGAGACTCTTATCTCCAATTAACCACTCAGAAAACAGGAAATGGCACTGTGGCTCAAGTGGTAGAGCGCTAGCCTTGAGCTGAAGAGCTGAGGGATAGCACCCAGGCCCAAAGTTCAAGACCGACAATGGACAAAAAAAACAAAATATAATTAACAATGGCATAGGGCAGCAGGATGAGATGATTAAATGAATGTTACATTCAGTTTAAGCAGAACTAAGAATTAGTAGAACAAGAAAATAGCCCATGTATTGTGTAGACCAAGAGTGTTTAGGTGCTGGGCTGAGATTTGAAGATCAAAGTTTATAGACTCCCAGGGCAGAGAAACCCAAAAGACTTTTTAGCTCCAGCAAATGCTGTGATTAGAGGTGTGGCTCAAGTGGGAGAATGCCAGTTGGGAGTAAAAAAAGGGTGAGGGCTCAAAGCCCTTATTTCAAGTCTGGTACAAATGAGGGTCTCTGATGGAAAAGAAGTAGACACAAGTGGCCCCTTGAGTCTTCTTTATGTAACATTTGACAAATGTTAGCAAACAATGGCTAAAAATCTAGAGTTGTAGCAAAGTTATTACATGATTTGAAAAAGCCATGAAACATTTTGTTTTCTTTCAGAATACTTGCAATGTGGTTGTGACTCCTAAAACCACTTGGCTACCCCCACTGCACTAATCTCCTTGGAGACAAAGCACTAGAATACACAGATACATACTCTAGATACTATCAAAAAACCCAGGCTCTTCAAAAACCTGCCTGATTCAGAAAGAAAAATAAAGCTGATTTGCTTTACTGTTAATCATTCACTTTTCCATACCTAGGTAAAATCACTAACAAGACTGTCTCACAAAACTTTTTTTAAAAAAAGCATGTAAAAAATTATACATGTACAAAATTTGTACATATATACATTGTATTTTTACAGTTAAAAAGTCAACAATTCATTATTCGTTTAGGGTTTTTGTATTGTTTTTCTCTTCCAGGTTCTTTATCACTCTCTTGGATCTGACTTAACCTTAACCTTAATGCTCCTGCCACATTTACTAAATTAAGTAAATGTTCATTTATCCTCATAGGCACAATCTGTCTGGGTAGCTCTGGAGAGAGTTCTGATGGTCTACATGTAATAAGGCAGTAGAATGGGACTATTGACACAGGTGGGAGTTAAGATGGGGCACAAACATCACACATCCAGGAAGTACTTCCAGAGCAGGATGAGTATTCACCCCAGGACTAAACTATACAATGTCCACCCATAAAACATAGTCAAAACCCACGAAGCACCCAATCAAAGTTACCAAAGTTCCCCTAATCAAGTCACACTGGTTCTCAAAAGATGAAAGGTATTTCAGGAATCAATGGACAGAGGTCACTTTGAACAGTGGTGGGCTAACATCTATAGAAGTCATTCAAACTCTTATAAAGAGAATTTTTAAGGGGTCAGCAGCCTCCCTGGGAACATCAGGAAAGCCAGTAAGAGAGGAGATGATGTTCATCTTTTCATAAAGTTCTTCTCCAGAGCTACTGAGGTTCTCTGTAGCGAATGGATGTTCCTCTTCACCCGGTCCTCCAAGGAGGAAGTACTTGCACTCTCTAGCTTCAGGCGGCTAGAAGAGAAGACAGGCAAAAGACATTTTCAACACGGTCAACTCTCTAGCAGAATTAGGAGAGAAACAGGTTGGTAGCCATAAAGCAGCTGCGGAAACACAAGCTCTTTTCAGCCCACACAGATAATTTTCAAGTGACTCCATCTGGAACCAAATCTTTTTAATGCCTATAAGGGAAAATTCATCTGTTTTGGAAGTCAAGAATCTCATTGGAAAAAGGTTTTCTGAGCCATAAATTTTTTATAAGAAAAAAGGCCAAGGAATTTCAGTAACTTAGGAAAAAAAAAAATTCACTTCTCCTTTAAACAAAAAACTTCCTGTCATATGACCAGAAGCTAGGAGCAATAACAAAGATAGCCTGGAGGCTGAGCTCTGGGGTTTCCAGAGCAGATACTGAAACACATTGGGACACCAAGAATCCTACTAGAATGTCTTTGAGACAATGCCTCTGGGCAGAAAGAAGATGCACTTACTGGATGAACTTCCCATCCCTTGAGTCCAGCTTCTCCAGCCTCTGTTCCCGTTCCTCTTCCTTCGCATGCCTCTTGAGGATGTTCTGCCTCTCTTCCTCTCTCCACTTAGCATTTTCCATCATCTCCTGCCGTTTCCGCTCTAGTTCCTCTGCTGAGAGTTTTCTGTTGAGCACAAAAACCATCAGTTCTACTTCTCTTCCAGCAAGAAATCAAAAGCAGTATACACAGAAAGAGGTCACGAAGGAACGCAGGCCCTTCAATTCATGGCTGGCTCCAAGGAAATGCCCTGCCCATTACTACACCAGCATGAGTTTTCTTCCTTTTAACCTCCCAGTCAGGGAATTTCAATTTTTAGTGAAGGATTTCATAATCCCATTCAATAATCTTTTGTTCTGAAACAAAAAAATATGAAATAAGATGAGAACTAGTCAGGTGCCTAAACTTAGGGTAATTATATCTCTATTACTCAACAATTATTATTTTGTTGTTTTTGTTGTTGCTGTTGTGGGTCTTGAACTCTAGGCCTGGGCGCTTTCCCTGAACTCTTCAGCTCAAGGTGAGTGCTCTACCACTTGAGCCACAGCGCCACTTCCAGTTTCCTGGTGGTTAATTGGAGATAAAGATTCTCATGGACTTTTCTGCTCGGGCTGGCTTTGTCAATCCTCATATCTAAGCCTCCTGAGTAGCTAGGATTACAGGTGTGAGACATCGGCGTCCAGCTTACTCCACAATTTATAGAAGAGATTGGGTGATTCCCATCTCCCTACAAGACATGGCTAAAATTCATGGATGTAGCCCTGGCATTCACTGTAAATGAAGTGAGAGCAAGAAAAGGAGATGATGAAAAAAAAAAGGAAGGAACAAAGGGAGGGAGACGATGAACTGGCCTGTTCAAAACTATTTAATAATCAGACATCCAACCCATTCCTTCTGAAACGGGCATGTGTTATAGTTTATATTTATCATCTAGTATGACAAACAGATTCCTCTTCAAAAGGAAAAAATAACTGAGTGCCAGTGGCTCAGTTATTTTTAAGAGTCTCAGTCCATGAGACTCTCCAAATTAACCATCAAAATGCCAGAAGTGGAGTTGTGGCTCAAATGATAGAGCACTATCCTTGAGCACAGAAGCTCAGGAATAGTGCCCAGGCTCCAAGTTCAAGCCCTAGGACTAGCACAAAAACAAAAACAAAAAATAAAGCTAGGCACCAGTGTAGCTCATGCCTGTAATCCTAGCTACACAGGAAGCTGAGACCTGAGGATTGCAATTCAAAGCCAGCTAGGGCAAGGAAGTCTGTGAAACAAAAAAAAAATTTTTTTGTCGGTTGTGGGGTTGGAACTCGGGACCTGGGCACTGTCCCTGAGCTCTTTTGCTCAAGGCTAGCATTCCACCACTTTGAGCTATAGCTCTACTTCTGATTTTCTGGTGGCTAATTGGGGGTAAGAATCTCATTGCCAGCCAGGCATTGGTGGCTCACGCCTGTAATCCTAGCTATTCAGGAGGCTGAGATCTGAGAATCACATTTCAAAGCCAGCCCGGGCAGAAAAGTCCATGAGACTCTTATCTCCAATAAACCACTAGAAAACTGGAAGTGGTGCTGTGGCTCAAGCAGATAGCACCCAAGCCCAGAGTTCAAGCCCCATGACTGTAAAAAAAAAAAAAAAAAAGAATCTCATTGTCTTTCTCACCCAGACTAGCTTTAAACCTCCTCTCTCAGCCTCCCGAGTAGCTCTGATTACAGGCTTGAGCCATCAGCACCTGGCTCTTGTTTGGCTTTTCATTCAATATAGTGCTCTACCACTTGAGCCATGCCTCTACTTCCAGCTTCTGGCTGGTTAATTGGAGATAAGAGTCTTTTGGATATGTCTGCCTAGGCTGACTTCAAACCTTGATCCTAGCTTCTACTATCTTTAAAAGTTCTTGGTAGGGGGGCTGGGAAGGTGGCTCAGTGGTAGAGCGCTTGCCTTGCATGCTCGAGGCCCTGGGTTCGATTCCTCAGCACCACATAAGCAAAAAGAAAAAAGCCGGAAGTGGCACTGTGGCTCAAGTGGTAGAGCGCTAGCCTTGAGCTGAAGAGCTGAGGGACAGCGCCCAGGCCCAGAGTTCAGGCCCCACGACTGGACCCAAAAAAAAAAAAAAAAGTTCTTGGTAGGGCTGGGAATGTGGCTTAGTGTTAGAGTGCTTGCCTAGGCAAGCCCTGGGTTCCATTCCTCAGTACCACATAACAGAAAAAGCTGGAAGTGACACTGTGGCTCAAGTGACAGAGTGCTAGCCTTGAGCAAAAGAAGCTTAGGGGTAGTGCCCAGGCCCTGATGAGTTCAAGCCCCAGAATTGGCAAAAGAAAAAAAGTATTTGGTGCCTGCAGTCCTCAAGTCTTCCCTGAAACTGCTAGCTTTTCATCAGTATCAGGTACTTCACATTTACTTTTTTCTTTTTTTTTTTCTTCTGGTTGTGGGGCCTGAACTCTGGGCCTGGGCACTGTCCCTCAGCTCTTCAGCTCAAGGCTAGTGCCCTACCACTTGAGCCACAGCGCCACTTCTGGCTTTTTTCTTTTTGCTTATGTGGTGCTGAGGAATCGAACCCAGGGCCTCAGGCATGCAAGGCAAGCGCTCTACCACTGAGCCAACTTCCCAGCCCCACATTTACTTTTTTCTAGTCTCCATCCTTTGCTTCCATTTTCCAACGAATGATTTGTTAATATATCTTTTCTAGTGTTACCTCCTTTTCCATGGTCTTTATGGTTGTATGCATGTCATGTTTGTTTGTTTATCCATTTATATAAAAGTTGGTTTGACAAAGGGTCAGATAAATTACCTACTTGCCCTGATGTGAGCTGCCTCTAGATTCAGTTCTATAGAATCGATAGTTAAATCTACTGTACTCTTGGCTTACCTGGTGTATCCAGAAGCATGCCGCCTCTGGTAGACCTCCTTTTTAGGTGATGGGCTCTTACTCTGGGCTCTTTCTCTCCTCTTTCCCTTAGAGCTGTGCCTGTAATGGATGAGGAAGGGAAAAGTCTCTTCAATACAAAAGCATTTTACCCTTCTTTTTTCTTTTTTTTTGGCTGGACCTGGACACTGTCCCTGAGCTCTTTTACTCAAGGCTAGCACTCTTACCACTTGAGCCACAGTCCCACTTCTGGCTTTTTTATGTTTATGTGGTGCTGAGGAATCGAACCCAGGGCTTCATGCATGCTAGGCAAGCACTCTACCACTAAGCCACATTCCCAACTACCCTTATAGTCTGAAAACTATAATCCAAATGTAAGAGAAAAAGGGGGAAAATCCACCAGCACAATATATACCTACAAATATGTGGTGCTGGAGGCCTAAAGTTTACAGTGAGATTGAGAAAGGAATAATACAGCAATGATATTTAGGAAATACAATGATGTGTGTGGCTCAAGTAGTAAAAGATGTACCCAACATGCCCTGGGACTCAGGCAGAAAACAGAAACAAAAATAACTGCTATGACCAGTTTCCTGTGATCACAAGCTATTTCCTAATGAATCCCCTTACTCACAGTTTGCTGGGCCTTGGGGACCGTGATCTTCTGCCCAGTGATCGAGACCTCCTATCCCGGGACCCTGGTTCCCTGGTATTCTTCTTGCTGGCATGTCTGGGGGGCGAGTGGGAGGAGCTTCTGGACCTGGAATGGTTCTTCATCCCCTTTTGTTCAGCGATCAGAGAGCTATGCAATCCTTGGGTATGGTCACTGTCCCTGACCTGTATCATTAGGAAAGGAAGGGAAGAAAAATTTTCATAGAACAAGTTAGAGATTCAAGAGAAATTATAGTGAAACAAGGAAAGAATGAGCAATGAGGTTTTCAATGGGGCCAACAGTGATGACAGATAAGCATCCAAAAGCAGGAAGTTATCTTCAGAATCCCTTAAAAGAATGTGACAAGCTTCAGCTTGTCACTAAAGCCAAAGGAAGGCAAGAGCAAAAGCATAAGGGACAGGATCAAACATACTGATGGAAGTGCTTGGCTGAGGCAGACAGATAGAAAATTCTAGGCCAGTCCAGGCTACATGACAAGTCTTGAGGCTAGCCTGGGGTATTCAGCTAAACCCCATCTCAAAGGAAAGAAAACAAAAAAATTCCAGCCATGGTAGTACACCATCTGTAATTTCAGGACTAGGGAGACAAGGCAGGAAGATTGTAAGTTCATTCACAGCCAGCCTGAACTACCCAGAAAGTTCCAAGACAGCATGCTCTATAGACCAAAATTCTACCCCATAAAAGTGAAGGGCTGACCAGACAGTAAGGCTAGTAAGGAAGCTGAGATCTGAGGATCATGGTTCAAAGCCAGTCTGGGCAGGAAAAGCCATGAGACTCTTATCTCCAATTAACCACCAGAAAACAGAAGTGGTGCTGTTGCTCAAAGTGTTACAGCACTAGTGTTGAGTGAAAGAACTCAGGGTCGGCACCCAGGCCCTGAGTTCAAACCCCATGATTAACAAAAAACAAAAACAATGTGGCTCAAGTGGTAGCCTTGAGGACAGAGAGGCTCAGGGACAGTGCCCAGGCTGGTGACAGCTCAGAGGTAGAGTACTTTCCCCATATATTCAAAGTTCTGTCTTTGATTCTAGCAATAGAAAGGAAAAAAAGAAAGAAAGAATGCTGCCAGATGTCCATTGGTCAAAAGTCATCAAACGGTTTATTTCATGTAAATTATCTGCAGAGGGATGGACAGAGTACCTAAATGCTCCACTAGTTATTTCTTCTCTGCAGAAGAGCCCTGGTCATAGTAAGACTCAGGGATAACGCTTGGGTCTGTTCCCCAATAGCCCAACCTTCGATGTCCAAACTCTACTATGTACAAGTTGTCAACGTGGCATACTGCACAGCTCTACAGTCACTCACTCTGAAGAGCCCAAATCCCTACCTGCAGTCCATATCCAGGGACTTTGGAAAAAACAGGAAAAGAATTTGCCATCTTCTTTTGAGACCTAAGAAATCAAAACACAGGTACTCAAAAAACAAAATTCAGACAGGTCCATTTTAAATCTCTCATGCTGAAACACATACCCTGCTTCCAACGTGACCTTCCATACCTCCCAGCTATTACTTGGCAATGTGTTTCTCTATTTGGACTGTCTTTGCTGGAAGATGTATCAGCACAGTCAAGTTTTTCCTGTGAAAAGCCGTGGGCCGAACTTCTCAGCCCCATTGCCTGAACACATTCTCCTCTCACCTCATGTTGCTATTCCAGGGACTAATGGTGAGTCAGCAGCAGCAGAGCTGACTGTTCCCATGGGGAAGACACAGAATGGGCCCACACGGCCCCATTAATCCATTAAAAAAAAAAATCCTACATGAAACCCAGTTCCATCTTGAGGACTCAAGTTGAGTTCAAAATAGTCACCCCAGGTCTGACCTAAGATCCACTGGGCTAATGCCAGTTCACTGAGGAGGTCTCTCTGCAGTAGCACACCAAGAGACCCAGCCACATTTAGCATCCCAGGGAGTTCTAGTACTAGCCGACCAGCTCTGTGGCATGGGACTATCTTAAAGTATTCAGCACTGAACTCCCTCCTGCCTGGCACTTGCTGGCACAGGGCAAGTGCTTAGTCCGCTCATGGAGTGAAAGAGTGAATGAACGAGAGAGGTATGCTGGCCTCCGTGTGCTTACCTTCCTCGACTATGTTCATCCTCACTGCTGGACCGACTACTGCTTGAACTTCTGTGCTTGTGTTTCTTGTGTTTCTTCTTCTTCTCCTTCTTTTTCTTCTTCTCCTTTTTCTCCAGACTCATTTGCAACTAGAAAATACCGAGAACATATCATACAATATTATTACAACTCCTGTGAGTTGCCCCCTGTGCAGGCATTGGGGGACTGATGTACAAATGTGACTTCCTGCTGTACACAAGTCCAGAACATTACCATAGGGTCCTGGACAACAAACCTGGTTATGCAAAAATGTATCCTAGACTCACCAACAGAAGCTCTGATAGGTAAGCAAAGAATTCCATTGCCTAGGAGTTGCCATTCTTCCCATTCAAAAGACCTCCAACTCTACTAAAAGCAATCAGGGACTGTAAAGTCAACCTTTAATTTTCTTAGCAACTGATTAAAAAAATCTAAAGCCAAGAGTGGTGGCTCATGCTTGTAAACCTAGCTACTTAGGAGGCTGAGATCTGAGGATCGTGGTTCAAAGCCAGCCCTGGCAGGAAAGGCTGTGAGACTCTTATCTCCAATAAACCGCTCAGAAAACCAAAAATGGCACTGTGGCTCAAGTGATAGAGCACTAGCCTTGAGCTGAAGAGCTGAGGGACAGCATCCAGGCCCAGAGTTCAAACTCCACAACCAACCAAAAAAGAAAAAAAAAAATCTATAACATGTGACTAATAAATGGGCCCTGGAGCTTTATAACAGAACCAAGGACATACTCTGGTCTCTTGAACAAGCCATGATCATACTTTCCACAGACCTATCATATACCTTCCTTTTCTCTGTCTCTCTCTCTGTCTCTGTCTGTCTGTCTGTCTGTCTGTCTCTCTCTCTCTCTCTCGCTGGTCCTAGGGCTTGAATTCAGGGCCTGGGCACTGCTCTAACCTTTTGTGCTCAAGGCTAGTGCTCTACTACTTGAGCCACAGCTCCACTTCTGGCTTTTTGATGGTTAATCGGAAATTAACCATTTTCCTAACCAGGCTAATTTCAAAATGTGATTCTCAGATTTCAGCCTTCTGAGTAGCGAAGATTACAGGCATGAGCCACTAGTGCCTGGCCCATACCTTCTTCTCCTGGAAAAGGGTAACCCATGGTGCTTTTTCCAACCAAAAGACAAAAGAGAGCTGGGTGACAGTGGTTTATACTTCTAATCCTAATTACTCAAGAGGCTGAGATCCATAGGATCAAAGTTTGAAGCCAGCCCAGGCAAAAATGTCTAAAATAACCGGGAAAAAAACAGCCTGGAAGTGTGACTCAAGTGGTAGAACAACAGTATACCAGTTGTAGCTGAATAAAAACAAGGCTTGAGTTTAACAATACTGGCACACACAAAGTTTTTAAGACTGACTGTATAAATTATAAGATAGGGAACCTGGGCTGGGAAGGTGGCTCAGTGGTAGAGTGCTTGCCTTGCATGCATCAGGCCCTGGGTTCGATTCCTCAGCACCACATAAGCAAAAAGAAAAAAGCCAGAAGTGGGGCTGTGGCTCAAGTGGTAGAGCGCTAGCCTTGAGCTGAAGAGCTGAGGGACAGCGCCCAGGCCCAGAGTTCAGGCCCCACGACCGGACCCAAAAAAAAAAAAAAAAAAGATAGGGAACCTACTTAACAAACACACAGACCTGAGATCAAATCTTAGTATCATCCCAATTTTCTTTTTTTTTGGGGGGGGAGTCAATTGTAGGGCTTAAACTCTAGGCCTAGGCACTATCCCTGAGCTCTTCAGTTCAAGGTAAGCACTCTATCACTTGAGCCACAGCGTCACTTCTGGTGTTCTGGTGGTTAAATGGAGATCAGAGTCTCACAGACATTCCTGCCCAGCTGGCTTTGAACCTCGAGCCTCAGATCTCAGCCTCCTGAATAACAGGGATTACAGTCGTGAGCCACTAGCACCCGGCAGAAAGAAAATTTTGAAGGCCCTTGTTTACTTCCCTATGGTAAGAAGCAGAGAAAAGTTCTCATTCTTACATCAAATAGCTAAAAGACAGGCTGAGAGTGTGGCTTAGTGGTGGAGTGCTTGCCTGTCATACATGAAGCCCTAGATTCAATTCTTTAGTACCACATAAACAGAAAAGGCTGGAATGCCATAGTAGCATGGTAGCCTTGAGCAAACGAAGCTCAGAGACGGTGCCTATCCCTTGAGTTCAAGCCCCAGTGCTAGCAAAAATAAAAATAATAGCTAAAAGGCACACTTTGTTACCGATTGGATACGCAACTTACCAATTCTTTGATTTTCTTCATTTTCACAGGATTGTTCAATACTTCTCTTTTTTTCTCCTCTTCTTTTTTCCTAAATGGAGAAAAATATAAAACTCATGACATTTGTTTTTTTGAGTGTGTGCCAATAGTGGGCCTCCCATTTGCTTTGCTTTTTTGCTCAAGGCTGACCCTCTACTTCTTAAGCCACAACTCTACTTTGAGTTTTTTGGTTGTTAACCAGAATTTAGAATTTGTCTGCCTGGACTGGCTTTCCAGCATGGGCAGGAAAGTTCTTGAGACTCTTATCTCTAATTAACCACTGAAAAGCCAGAGATGAAGCTGTGGCTTAAGCAGTATAACACCAGCCTTGATCAAAAGAAGAGCAGAGCCTAGGCCCTGAGTTCAAGCCCCAGGACAAGCACCAAAAACAAAAACATAAACAAAAAGCATCAAACATGGAGCCTATAATCCCACCCATGTGGAGGTAGAGATGGGGGAGTCTCTAAGCATCTCTGTAACAAGCCCTTTCCCAGGTCCTGAGGAGTACCTGATGATGAAGAGCGGGTCTTCCCGGATTTTGCTGGCCATGTCAAGAAGAGAATTGGCTCCAGATGGGGCAAAGATAGAGCCAGGGAGGAGTCCTGTCTCAGAAGAGCAGCCAGCCTCTTTTTCCTCCATCTTCTCAAAAACGTATTTGTCAATGGGACGTCCCAGCAGGTACTCATCACGGTTCACCATCCCACCAGGACCCTGATACATCCAGTCTAACTTTTCTTCTTTTTTCCTGGGTGAAGAAAACAAGTAAAAAAATACACATTCCCACAAAGGTGCAATATCTAATCACTTCTTCACACACACACACACACACACACACACACACACACACACACACACACACACACACACACACACTGAAATGAACTCCAAAGATATGGAAACAAAGGACTTTCTTAATTTTTCTTTTTTTCTTTCTTTTTTTTTCTTTTCTGCCAGTCTTGGGGCTTGAACTCAGGGCCTGGGCACTGTCCCTGAGCTACTTTTGCTCCAGACTAGCACTCTACTGCTTGAGCCACAGTACCACTTCTGGCTTTTTCTGTTTGTGTGGTACTAAGGAACAGAACCCAGGGGCTATATGCATGCTAAGCAAGCACGCTACCATTAAGCCATATTCCCAGCCATTTTGTGTGTGTGTGTATGTGTGTCTGTGTCTGTGTGAGTGTCTGTGTGTGTGTCCTGAACTCTGGGTCTGGGCACTGTCCCTCAGCTCAGCTCTTCAGCTCAAGGCTAGCGCGCTACCACTTGAGCCACAGCACCACTTCCGGTTTTCTTTTTGCTTATGTGGTTCTGAGGAATCAAACCCAGGGACTCATGCATGCAAGGCAAGCACTCCACCACTGAGCCACCTTCCCAGCTCCCCCCCCCCCTTTTTTTCTTTTTTAAAAAAAAATACTGGTCCTGGGGCTGGGAAGGTGGCTCAGTGGTACAGTGCTTGCCTTGCATGCATGAGGCCCTGGGTTCGATTCCTCAGCACCATATAAACAGAAAAAGCTGGAAGTGGCGCTGTGGCTCCAGTGGGAGAGTGCTAGCCTTGAGCTGAAGAGCTGAGGGACAGCGCCCAGACTGAGTTCAGGCCCCATGACTGGCAAAAAGAAAATACTGGTCCTGGAGCTTGAACTCAGGGACTGAGCCCTGTTCCTAAGCTGTTTTGCTCAAGGCTAGTGCTCTACCACTTGAGCCCCAGCTCTACTTCTGGCTTTTTTATGGTAATTGGAAATGAGAGTCTCCAGGCTGTCTCAAATTTGTAATCCTCCTGCCACTGCCACTGCCACTGACTCCCAAGTGCTTTACCAAGTCTTTTTTTTTTTTGGTCCGGACGTGGGGCCTGAACTCTGGGTCTGGGTGCTGTCCTCAGCTCTTCAGCTCAAGGCTAGCGCTCTACCACTTGAGCCACAGCGCCACTCCGGCTTTTTTCTTTTTGCTTATGTGGTGCTGAGGAATCGAACCCAGGGCCTCAGGTATGCAAGGCAAGCGCTCTACCACTGAGCCATCTTCCCAGCCCCCTTACCAAGTCTTAAAAGGACTCAACAGCTGGGTGCTGGTGGCTCACACCTGTAATCCCAGCTACTCAGGTGGCTGAGATCTGAGGATTGCAGTTCAAACCCAACCTGGGCAGGAAAGTCTCTCATGATACTCATCTCCAACTAATCACCAGAAACAGGAAGTGGAGCTGTGGCTCAAAGTGGTACAGTGCTAGCCTTGAGTGAAAAAGCTCAGGGACAGCGCCCAGGCCCCAAGCTCAAGCCCTACAACTGACAACAACAACAACAACCTTAACATACATCAGCTTATTGTATCTTCTAGTAAGAGAATACGTTGCAAAGCTGGGATCTAGGGCCATAGTATTTAACTGCTGGTTCCATCAGATGTAACTGGGTCACTGAGCAACTTACTTCTGTCACCTCTATCCTCATCCCTAAAATGCAACCTTAATTAATGTCTGTCACTGATACTCTCATTACTTTGTGGGATTTTTTTGTTGCTGTTGTGGGGCTTGAACTCAAGCCTGGGAGCTGTCCCTGAGCCTCTCTGTGCTCAAGGCTAGCACTCTACTACTTGAGCCATAGCACCATTTTTGGTTTTTGAGTGGCTAATTGGAGATAAGAGTCTCACAGGGGGCTGGGAAGGTGGCTCAGTGGTAAGAGTGCTTGCCTTCCATGCATGAGAATTCTTGGCCTAAAGGTATCCACCTGCCTCAGCTTATAAGTAGCTAGGACTATAGTTACACACCACTGTGCCTGGTAGCCAAGAGGGAGTAGGTACCCATGGCTCCTAGCTACTCAGGAGGTTGAGATCTGAGGACTGAGGTTGGAAGCCAGCCTGGGCAGACAAATCTGTGAGACTCGTTTCCAATTAACCAGCAAAAAGACAGAACTGGAGGTGTTGATCAAGTGACAGAACACTGCTCAGCTAATACATGTCACATGGATGAGGTACCCACAGTCAGTCCGACAATTCCCTGCAGGCCAGGCCACACAGCTCCTCACTTACTTGACAGCCCCGACATCCTCTGCATATCGCTGCATCTCTTCCCGAGCCCGCTCCTCCCGCAGCTCCCGCTGTAGCTCTTCAATCTTCTTCCGCTCAGCCTCATGCTTCTGCTCAGCCTTCCAGACTTTCTCCACATTTCGGAGGGTTTGTGGATGCCAGCTCTTCTTCAGGTTCTGTGGTGAACATTAGGAGGGAGAATTCAGCAAGTGGTGGTGATGAATATGACTGGTACTGCCTCATTCACTTCTTCTCTAACCCAGGCATGATAAGACACGCATGTAAGAAGAAGACTTCAGGCTTGGTGATATAGTAGTTACTTAGCATGCATAAGATCCTGGTCCAAGTGCCAGAACAGAAAAAAAAAAAAAAAGAGAAAGCAAGAGTTCTTGAACCATGACAAAGTTTGCATTTACTAATCATTCATCCAGGGGTTGGGAAGGTGGCTCAGTGGTAGAGTGCTTGCCTTGCATGCATGAGGCCCTGCATTCCATTCCTCAGCACCACATAAACAGAAAAAGCAGGAAGTGGCTCTATGGCTCAAGGGGTAGAGTGCTAGCCTGGAGCTGAAGAACTCAGGGACAGCACCCAGGCCCAGAGTTCAGGCCCTATGACTGACCAAAAAATACATAAATAAACAAATTAATAATAATAATAATCATTCATCCAGGGCTGGGAATGTAGCTTAGTGGTAGAGTGCTTGCCTAGCATGTATGAGGCCCTGGATTCGATTCCTCAGTACCTCATAAACAGAAAAAGGTAGGAGGTGGCACTGTGGCTCAAGTGGTAGAGTACTAGCCTTGAGTATAGAGAGGCTCAGAGATAGAGCCTAGGCCCTGAGTTTAAGCCCTAGGATCTGCAAAAAAAAAAAAAAAAATCATTCATCCAGATGCCAGTAACTCCTAGCTACTCAGGAGGCTGATATCTGAGTTCTGCAGTTTGGAGCCAGCCCATGAAGGAAAGTCCATAAGACTCTTATCCAGAGTGAACCACCAAAAAGCCCAAAAGTGGAACTGTGACTCAAGTAGTAGTGTGTTAGACTCAAGCATAAAAGCTCAGAAACTGTGCCCAGGCCCTGAGTACAAACTCCAGGACTGGTACACACAAAACCTTTCATATGTGTCAGGGGTGGGGTAGTTGTTCAAGTACATAACAAGGCCTTTCCTAAGTTCCCTTCAGTTTTTACCTACTCCTACTGGTCATCATAAAATGGGAGTTGGTGGTGATAAGGCGTAAGGTAGGGGACAAGGAGAGAGAATGGTATTTATTTTGAAAGGCAAAAGAACTCATTGACATTGGATATTTATTTTTTTTCTTTCTAGTTTTTCTTTCATTTTTGTTTTTTGTTTTTTTGTGCTGGTCCTGAGCTTGAACTCAAGACCTGGGTGCCGTCCTTGAGCTTAAGTGTTCTACTTGAGCCACAGCTGTACTTCTGGCTTTTTGGGTGGTAACTGGACATAAAAGTCTCATGGACTTTCCTGCCTGGGTGGCTCAAACCAAGATTCTCAGATCTTAGCCTCCTGAATAGGTAAGATTAAAAGCAGGAACCACTGGCACTTAGCCACTTTTTATTTCTTTCAATTCTTATTTTGTTATTATTTTTGGCAGTACTAGGGCTTTAGCCCAGTGTCTCTCACTCTTGCTTGGCTTTTTTGTTCATGGCAGATCCTCTACCATTTGAGCCACACCTCTGGTATGGCTTTTGGCTGGTTAACTGGAGATGGGAGTCTCCTGGACTTTTCTGCTCAAACTGGCTGGCTTCAAAACTCAACTCTCTATATCTTGGCCTTCTGAGTGGTTAATTGTAGATAAGAGTTTTACGGACTTGCCCTCCTGGGCTGGTTTGAAACTATGATCCTCAGATCTCAGCTGCTGAGATCTCAGATCTCACCAGTACCTGGCTGGACACCTACACTTTTTTTTGTTTGTTTCCCAGAGAGGAGGACCAAACTCAGGGTCTGACACTTGCCAAGCAAGTGGTCTTCTACTAATCTAAATCCCCAACTTTTGGACATCCACTCTTATGAATACAATCTTCTGGCTGGGAATGTGGCTTAGTGGTATATTGCTTGTCTACCATGCATGAAGCCCTGGGTTCGATTCCTCAGTACCACAAAAACAGAAAGAGCTGGAAATGGCGTTGTGACTCAAATGGTAAGAGTGCTAGCCTTGAGGAAAAAGAAGCTCAGGGACAGTGCCCAGGCCCTGAGTTCAAGCCCCAGGACTGGCCAAAAAAAAAAAAAAAAAAATCCCCTTCCCAGTGTCCACTTGACTCTCAATTCCTAAGCTTACTTAATTCCTATTAGGACTATTTTCTCTCTCTCTCTCTCTCTCTCTCTCTCTCTTTTTTGTCAGTTATGGGGCTTAAACTCTGGGCCTGGGCACTATCCCTCAGCTCTTCAGTTCAAGGCTAGCGCTCTACCACAGGAGCCACAGCGCCACTTCTGGTTTTCTGAGTGGTTTATTGGAGATAAGAGTCTCACAGCCTTTACTGTCTGGCTGGCTTTGAACTGTGATCCTCACATCTCCACCTCCTGAATAGCTAGGACTGCAGGTGTGAGCTATCAGTGCCAGGCTAGGACTTCTTTCAACTTTGCTTTCCCTTGGTTCTGATCATCCCCTTCACCCTCAAAGATTATTTCTCTGTTCTCTTGTCTTCCTTTCCTTTCCCTTCCCTTCCTCTCTCCATCAACCACTACTTTGGTTCAGCAAGTTCCCCTGAGGCAGTAACATCTAAAGACAGCTAAAAATTAGCCTGGTGAAGTGGGAAAGGGGAGTAGAACGTAGATTTCCAGAGGAAACATTCTTACTGCAGTCCCAGCAGTGAGAAAGAACACAGCATGAATAATTTTGTGTGTCTAGAGGTGGAATGCAAGGTGGTAGAGAAGGGGCACAAGATGAAGACAACTACAAAAGGAACTATTAAGGGCCTTTCAAGCCATGTAAAGAGACTAGACATCTCCAATTAACTACCAACAAGCCGAAATGGAGCTGTGGCACAAAGTAGTAGAGCACAATAGCTCAGGGACAGCACCCAGGCCCTGAGTTCAAGCCCCAGGACTGTATACGTTCACGTACACACGTACACGTACATGTACACACACACACACACACACACACACACACACCATACTAAAGGCAGCGTGTTATGGCCTCAATATCTCCTTCCTCTCCTAGCCATGGTTTCAATTCTCTACCTTCTCAGAATTTCCAACCCACCAGGGTTGAAGAACACAAATACCACCACCACCACACGGGCCAACCTAGCATATCTTTCCCGGTTCCGCGGTCCATCTCCCCCTCCAAGACACCGCCCTCTCCTAGAAATTCAAGACTTCGTTCCCATGGTTACCCACCTCCCTACCTATCTGTCTCTCTGTCTCTGTCTGACTCGTCTCTCTGTCTCTCTCTCACACACACACACACTTCCACCCCACCCCCTTCGATTCTCATCCTCAGAGACAATTCCCGACTTCATTTTCCCCTTACTCAGGCCTGCCCCCACTTACCAGGTCTCCACCCCCCATGGTGGTGGAGACGTTTCCTCACTCTTCGGCTAAGACGAACTCAGGGAAGATCCAGGGCAAACGCAGGGAGACGGTTCCGAGACCACCTCACAGGTTGCGTTCCCAGAAGGAACTAGCAGTCACTTTCCGAGCCCGGTCTAGAGAGCACTTCCGGGAGTGACGTCATGTTGCCGCGCCGCGGTCGCGGAGAGATTACGCAAATCACTCAGTGGCCAGGCGTGCAGTTTCCGGACCCCTCCCTGTCGGGACCCAGACAGTCCTCTTGTGCTCACAGCCTCGCTGGAGTTTCCCAGCTGTGAACATACTACAGCTCAGCTGGACGCCGGTGACTCACGCCTGTCATTTTAGCTTCTCGGGAGACTGAGTTCTGAGGGTCTTGAGTGGAAGCCAGGGAAAGTCCAAGGGACTCATGGCCTATTAACCAAAACAGCCAGAAATGGAGCTGTGGCTCAAGTGACAGAGCTCTAGCCTTGAGCAAAAAAACTCAGGGACAGCGCCCAGGCCCTGAGTTCAAGCCCCAAGATCGAAGAAAAAACAAAAACAAGCAAAAAAAAAAAAAAATCTTGTGCTCTGGCCATTGCATTCGTAGTCCCGTTGCTATGACAGAGCACCAAGATTCTTCCCTCCCCACTACCGTGCCTCAGGCCGGTTTCCCTGGACACCCAAACTGATCATCTTACTCCACGCCTGTTTAAACTAGGTGGTCTAGAATCTGCCATTTTGCTCTGAACTCTTGTTTTGTTTGCCGGTCCCTGGGCTTGAACTTGGGGCTGAGGGGCTGTCCCTGAGCTCTTTTGTTCCAAACTAGCTCTCTACCACTTGAGCTACAGTGCCACTTCCGATTTTCTGGTTGTTAATTGGAGATAGTCTCACGGATTTTCCTGCCTTGGCTGGTTACAAACCTTGATCCTCAGATCTCAACCTCCTAAGAAATTAGAATTATGGGAGTGAACCACCAGCACCCGACTCCAATAAGACTCTTATCCTGGTACTAGCCTTGAATTTTAAAGCCTAATGGCTTGCTTAGCTTTTTGCTCTAGGCTGATTGCTATAGCACTTGACCTATAACTTCCCCTTCCAACTTTTTGCTGGTTAACTGGGAATAAGAGTCTCATGGACTTCCCTGTCTGGGCTGGCTTTGACCATAATCCTCAGATCTCATCCTCCTGAATAGGATTACAGGCATGAGTCACCAACATTGGGCATTAAATTCAAATACTGTATTTGTAAGTCAGGTGTTAGTGGCTCAGACCTGTAATTCTAGCTTCTCAGTATGCTGAATGGATGGAAGTTCGAAGTCAGCTTCACCAGACAATCCACAAGGCTCCCTCCCCAAAATAAACAGAAAACGCAGGGTTGGAAGAGTGGCTCAAGTGGTAGAGCACCAGTCAACCAAGCTGACCAAGCATAAGGCCCTAAGTTTAATTACTGGTACTGATAATGGAGTTCTGTTTTGGAATGATAAAAATGTTCTGAAATTGTGTTAGTGGTTGCATGACTAAATATACTCAAGATCATTGAAGCCAGGAGCCAGTAGCTCATGCCTGTAACCGCAGGTACTCAGGAGGCTGAGATCTGAGATCAAAGTTCAAAGCCAGCCTGGATAGGATAGTCCATGAGACTCATCCCTAATGAATCACCAAAAAGGATGGAAGTAGAGCTGTGGCTCAAGTGATAGAGCACTAGCTTTGAGCATAAAAGCTCAGGCACAGTGCCCAGGCCTTGAGTTCAAACCCAGAATGGATACAAAAACAAACAATAAAAAACACAGGCCTGGTACCAGTGGCTCAGGCCTATAATTCTGAGATCTGAGGGATCTCCATTCTAAGCCAGCACAGGCAGAAAAGTCTGTGAGACACTTTATCTCCAATCAACCCCCAGAAAACCTAAGTGGATCTGTGACTCAATGTGATAGAGCACTAGCCTTGAGTAGAAAAGCTCAGGGACAGTGCCCAGGCCTTCTATGCTTTTTTTTTTTTTTTGGTGCTGAAGGTCATGAACCCAGGGTCTTGCAGATGGCTAGGCAAGTGTTCTACACTGAATTGAATCTCCATCCCTGAATTTTACAATTTTTTTGTGGGGGAGGGGGACAGTTGTGGGGCTCAAACTCAAAGCCTAGACACTGTCCCTAAGCTTTTTCACTCAAGGCTAGTGATCTACAACTTCAAGCCACAGCTCCACTTCCAGTTTCCTAGTAGTTTTTAATTAGAGATAGGAATCTCATAGATGGCTGGGCACCAATGGCTCACACTTGTAATCCTAGCTACTGAGGAGGCTGAGATCTGAGAATCGCAGTTCAAAGCCAGCTTGGACAGGAAAGTCCGTGAGACTTATTTCCGATAAACCACTAGAAAACCAGAAGTGATGCTATGGCTCAAGCGGTAGAGCACTCGCCTTGAGC